GGAATTAAGAAGATGGAGCAATTAGAGATGTATTTGAAAAATCTTTAAATAAAATCCATCAGTTCATAGATCAGCTATGCTCCAAGAATGTTAAAAAAAATAAAGTTTTAAAAAGGATGTATAGAAGAAAAAATATTCTGAGGGTGATTTGAAGGGAGTGATCTAAATTTAATGAGTTAATTGGAGTTAGTTGGTATTTTATTGGTCTCAAAGTTTAAAGTATATATGTTAAGAGGAAGTTTTAAAAAGATATATTAGAATGTTTTGGTTTTAGAAATATTTTTAAAGAAAAGTTTAATGTTTTAAAATGGATGAAAAAAGTATTTTTCCTTTGTTAAAGAATCTGAAAGAATACAATGAATTTTGTTAATATAAATGATAGTTTATAAAGTGCAAATAGAAATATATAATATTTCCACAGCAAGAAAGATAAAGCAGAAATAGTTAAATTGATTGTTTTATTCAAAGAGGAGAATATATTTAATTATATTTTTTATTTGGATATCACTTCTGGATTTTATGCTTGTGATGGAAAAAAAATGAAACTTTGACTTCAGTTTTACTGATTAGATAGATTTGTTGTTATAGAAATGGCTAGTTATATATTAATGTGTAGAAGTAACAAGTTGAGGATGTAATGTAGTGCGTTAATAAAAGTCAGAAGTCAACACTTTTTTCTTTCTTCCCTTGTACTTCATATTTTCTTTCCCACTCTTTTTCCTTCCCTTAATTTCCTATTTTTATTTGTATTTTATACATTGATAAAACAATAAGTCATGAGCAATGGGAATAATATAGAGAAGGCAAATAATTGATTATGTGGGAAACAAATAGTGCATACAAATTCACACACGTCTTTTAAATAAAATAAATATCCATTAAGAAAGCACATGAATGTTTTATTTATGGTGTTAATGTGGGACTGCATTTTATGCAAAATCTGTTTGGTGAAACCAAATCTGTAGCAAATTAACAATAACAATCCCCAAACAATATCCACAAACAGCACTTCATCAATATTTTAATCTTATAATTGAAGCTAAAACTTTAAAACACACATATTAATAAATGCTGTTACTCTCTAACATGCATGCTTGGCTCTTGCAGATATATTCCACTTAAACATAAAAATGCAAATGCGTCTAAAACTGAAAAAAGTACAAAAATGTTTAACACATCAATGGCTTAAAACGGGAAAGGGGGAAATGTGCTAAAAGCAACAAAAGAGCAATTAAATTAAATTGTCAACCAATAGCAATTCCATTTTGTGCTACTAACCAGAGACCTATGTTAAGTTTTGACACTGGTGACTTTGGTACCATTAAAGAAACCCTACTTGTAAATGTACAAACCTTGTGCGAAGTAGTATATATAGTTTAGATATAAAAAAATAACATGGATAGAATCCAGAAACTGCAAGGCACTGTTAATGTATGTACTGCAAAATTTGTATCACATTCACTCCTTTTCTCATCCCACCACTACACCTTTCTTCTAACATCCATTCCAAAAGAAAAGAAAAAGAAAAAAATCCACCAGAGAATTCTTCAGAGTACTTCCAGAATAATTCAGGAAGTTATAATCTGAGAGGGAAAAAATCCAAAAAGCATGCTTTAGGGCAACACATATGCACACACACCCTTTGGACCTTGGCATATTGATTGCAATTGATACAACCCATTTAAGTACAATTAAGAAACTACATATACCCAGCAGTAAAGGGATTCATACATGTGTAAACTACTTTATGAATTCTCATCAAAGCTGAAACAGCTTACTTAGAGTTAGACTAATATACTTTGTAAGGAGAAAATGTTGGGCATGCTGGTACGTAGTCATCTGAGTAATAGTCTCATTATGCAGCAAATCATAGTCACTGAGCTCCTTTATATTTTAGGGAGGGAGTATTCTAAAAATCTCACTTAAAAAGAGAACAAAACAAACAATACCAAAGAGTATTCCAAACTGTTTTCTTACATGTTGATGAAGAAATCTGTTTTCTACCAAATTATTCTGACAAAGGCTAACATTTTTTAAAACTGGCCTATATGAAAGATAGCAAGATGAATATTTTATATATAAATATTGATTTAGAATAAATAAATAACTATAGTATAGGGGTCTCCAGCTATTTTTTAAAGTATAGATTGTTTTACATACCACATACAATATTAAAATAAGGGGGAAATTCCTTTTTTGAGTTCTTGGTAGTATGTGGTATCAAGTTTCTTTCTAATAATTGTTTTTCCTTCTGCACAGCAACAGTTGATATCAATATAACTTGAGAACATGCCATCATTTTATTTGTCATTTTACATACAGTGCATATGATGCTCGCTCTTTCCATCTCTCATAGCAGCAAGCAGATTCTGCTACTAGCTATAGCAGCACACCCAGAAGTGGAGAGGAAGAGTGTCAGATATATAAATAGCTAAAAACTATAGTATACAGTATACAACTCTACAGTATAGAATTCTATTTATCTGTCAGTATTTAGGTTGACAGCACACCATTATGTTCTATAAGAAATTCACTAAAAAATAGCTACAAGAACAAAACCAAGACATTCCTTCAAATAGGACAAAAATAAGTGCAAGTGTCTAAAACAAGTAAATTGAAGCAACTCCCATAACCTGTGAAGATTAAAATCACGAACAACTCTTAAATTAAAAAAAAAAGACTATTTTGCTTTTTAAGCGGTTTTGTAACTATATTATTGGAGCTCCCAAGAGCAGCTATGAATTATTTTAAAGGCAATTCCAAATTTCAGAACTAGCAGTCATGGACACTTCCCCTTTAGCTTTGTATATGTCTAGGTACGGGTAAATGTTGAAGTGAGCTAAGCTACTATAGAAATAGACCAACAGCATGTGCCACAACTATGGCAGTAATTCATCAAGCATGATCATAGAGACAGCTACAGTAGTTACCCACCTATAAGTCAGTTAAGTTCTCCCCATATCAAAACAGACCCAAATGTAACAGGGCCCATGGCTGCTTGTTTCAAGAAAAGTAACTAAGTGAACCAGTTTTTTTTCATGTCACATTTGTAATAAAATGCAATGGGATTTACGCCTTCATTAAAGCCACAATAAGCCAAATTGTGTCTTACCACATTGTGTTTCTTCATAAAGGTTGTCCCTTTAATGTTCAATTTATAGAATATGTAAAATTAAAGTCAGGCAGATTTTAAAATGACTATGTAAACTACATGATTGAAAAGGGAATAGTGCAATCTTTAAATAGATGAAATGCAAATTAATGTACTTCACAGACTGTAATATTGCTGTAATATTCCAATGCACCAAGTTAACTCTTCTTCTTATGTCAACTAGAGCTATTTTATTACAAGCTCTGAAGACACTGTATGTGTTTGTGTGTACATACACATATATACAAAGAGGCTGAAATTTGTTTGTGACCACATACCATTTCAGCTGTTGATATTAGCAGAGCAGCCTTATCAATTCAAACATCCTGTCACAGATATATTCCTCCATTACAATACTTCAGTGAAAGTGCTCATCCTCTCTCCTTTCTTTTTCACAATGAAATCTATGCTACCCTGAAAGAACAGCCTAAGTCCAGAACAAGTTCTCTTTGAGACTTGTTCTGGACTCATGTTTAAAAAATATCATCGTTACATCAGCTAATTCCTGTATCACAACTTGTTCCATTATCTTTATGTGAACTGCCATGGACAAGGAGCAAAATAGAGCATACTATAAACAACCAGATGACTTGAAGCTCCTTCCCAAGTTTTGAGATATTAACTTCAGCCATGAACATTCTACCAACTTTCCAAAATGGTTATCATGGTGGCTTTTCTTCTTTCCTACTGCCTAAAGGTAATTGTAGAATCAAGAGCCACTAGAAGCTTGTTTGTATATTCCCTAATGCTTGCCTCAATATTTATGGAATAGCAACACTCTCATAAACTGAGAATAAGCCATTAAAGAAAGCAACCCTTCTCTTCCTATCTTAATGGCATAAAGAGAACTTTTTTCCCCTTTCATAGTGGCGTTCAGCCAAGGTTGATCCATTTCTTTTGTCCCGATCTTCCAAAACCACATGTATATATTTCTTACTGCCTTTGGTATATTTTGCAAAGATCCATCAAAATGAATGGAATTCCAAAGCCTTAAAAGCCAAAGGATATAGGAGGCAGCATCAGATTTGTGAATCAAGAAACCTAGTAAAGACTGGCAGTAAAAAGCAAAGTATAATGGTATATGGATGACTGGAATGCAAAAGGGAAATACAATTCATCTCCAAATGAACCAGATAGAACTGAAGTGATATATTACTTAGGGCTTAGGCTACACTAAGAAAAGTAGGAGGCAAAATGCACATCTATATAATTTCTGAACAAAGGGTGGTAAATTACTATTGCTCCTTTCTCTATTGCAGCCAAGAGCAAGTTTATGTTGCTTTGCAAAACAGGAAATATGTGGGTACTAGATGAAATTGCAGCCTCAAGCTTTAAAATGAAACTAAATTATACACAAACTGTCTCACAATTTACAAACACTATTCTGCTCCCACATGCTGTACAATACATTCAACAAAGGTCTCAGTTTGAGATTAATGAATACTGACGCTTTATCCTAATAAAAATTAAATTCATATCTTTGTCTTCTCGTACTAGAAGTACCATTCTCAAATAAATACATATAACACTGTGGTTAATTCTGTGCAGCATACCTTGTATAAGTAGTGCAACTGTCTATTCTTCCTTTAGCCCCTTTCTTCATATTCAAAATTGCTACATTAGCAAAAGCATTCTCAAAAAGTACTGTACATTTTTCTTTCATAGATTACCAAACACCTCTAAGTCTAATCTATAGTAAAAGTTTCTTTAGAAGAAAATTAGATGTATTTACTAAAGAATAATTTAGAAAACCGACTGGTAGAAAAAATATGTAGTTATTTCTTTTACCATTCAATTTAGTGGTCTTTCAAAAGACCATTTAAAAATTGCTTTTAAAAAAGGATGGGTGTGATATTTGCATCCCTTGTATTTTTCAAAAAAAAGGGTATTACAATCCCCTTAGAAGGCAGCTTCAAATAAGTACAAACATATTTCAGCTTAAAGTCTGTAATAAAAAGGGTGGGAAAGGTAGATCGATATGTTCTTAAGACAATCATAAGATGAGAGCCCTTGAAGTGCTGCCAGAAGCTGGGTAGGTGCTCAGGTACCTTCTTGCTTGCTCAGTCATAATAAGTTGATCTTCTGTCTTCCCATAAACAACAGCTTCCCATTCACAATTCGCCTGTTATACATAGTCCAGTTAATAATTACATTCAGAATCAAATCAATTAAGTGCCTTAAAGCCAAGAGCTAAAAATAACCAAACATTAAAATAAAAAAGCAAGAACTCAACATTTCTCAATTCCACTTAATGACTCAAAAGACTGCAATCCTTAGTCCCATTCTAAGAACTAGATATAGGAAAATAGTACTGGTCTCCTGACTAGCCTAAATAAACATGTAAAATTATGTAAAGCACTTTGAACACCAGGATATTGAAGGCGTAAAACTCATGGTTAGAACCAGTTAACCCTCCCAATGAAGCTACACGGGCATGTATGTTCAGGCATTGCTATTAAGAAGGTCTGAGTATGTTTTCCACAATTTATTCAATCTTCATTATCTAATTTACTCAAAAATTAGAAGACAGTGGGGATGTAGTACGTATTGTGTGTGTACAAAATTATGGAATGCATTAAATTAATAATGCAACTGAACACTCAGCAACTGTATCCTAAGGCTTTGGTAAAGACATTTTACTGCAATAGCAATTTTTAACTTAATGTATATTTCTCTTAATTTTGAGTCCTGAATCTGAAGGAGCAAGCATTTTGCAAACACAGGATATTTTAATAACAGAACCCTTGATTTTTTAATACATTAATAAATAATAGAAATATTATAATCTATAAAATTATTTTTCCAAGACAAAGTAAATAGAGTTAAATATTGAGAGTTCTTAAATACTGACCTGAAGAGGTTTTTCTCCTTTAATATTTTTTGAAGTGTATGTATTCAGCTTTTTTTTCCATGCTACATTCAGTTTTGTTGAATTGGAATCTTGTTTCTCTGGAGTTGTGTTGTCTCTATTGTCATGTATTTCCAATAACGGTATCATTAGAAGTGATGTAGTATAGATATTCTCTGACTATATTGCAAAAAAAAAAAAGTTTAGTACAACTAGTATCTTGCTGGAGAATTGTAAGTTTATATAGTTAAAGCAGCTTAAAAATACCATCCTGCAGGCTTGTATATTGAAATTCTGAGGCAAAGCTTTACAAGCATTTATCATTTTTTAAAAACTAGCACAAAATATTAAAAATAGGCTTTTATTAATCAAGAAGCTTCATTTAACTCCAAGAATTCAAACTTAAAATATTTAAAATTCTCAGTGAAACTATTCTAGCATCATTAACCTGAAACAGAAACTGAGAACTGCACTGGAGACAAATTTCTTGTCTATCTATTCACACTTAGACAAGCAAAGCATTCCATTCCATTCCATTCCATTCCATTCCATTCTATTCTATTCTATTCTATTCTATTCTATTCTATTCTAAACATTCCTATTCCGTTGTATCCCCTTTCTTAGAGCAAAGTAGACTAGAATATAAATATAAAACTAGCTACAGGTAGTATTTGTTCAGTAACCACTCATTCAGCAACCATTCAAAATTATGATGGCACCAAATAAGAAGTCTTTACAACTATTCCTGCAGCTATTGCAACGTTCTCATAGTCACATGATTGTGGTTTGGGCAGTTGGCAATCAGTTTGCAATTATAACCATCAAGTGTTCTGAAACTTTGCAAGTGATTGTCATTTGCAAACTGTATTGCCATCTTCCAACAAGCAAATTCAATGGGGAAGGCTGCAAGAAGTTACAAATATGACTATGGAACGCTGCGACAGTGTAGGATTCATCCAATAATGGCAACTGGAACTGCTGCAACTGCCATTGTAAGTCAGTGCCATCACAAGAAGTCATGCCTTTTTTTAAAAAAAATGATTTATACTTTTTTTCTTTAAAGTATATAAGTGCTTAATAATGAAGTCATACTTTATGATCGCATTGCTTAGCAATCTAATTGCCAATCCCAATTTCCATTTTTAAGCAAGGACTACCAACATTACACTTGCTGAAATGAAAAAAGTTAGGCCACTGCTTATTCTTACAATTACTGATCATTATCGTTTTTAGTATCAGTTCTTTTAAATACTAAAATGTTTTCTTGCAGTAATTGTTGACAGGAAAAACATTGGTTAAAGTTCTTGATGCTGTAGCATATTCTAATCTGTTTCTATTTATTATTAAATATTTGAATTTCTGATATTATGGTACTGACCTGCATATCTGAAACATTATCTTCTGCAAAAAAAGGGTCACCAAGGTCTTCTTTTTCCCAAGGATCCAGGACCAATGATTTCCTGACTTTCTTTACAGAAGTGTTCTATGATCAATATTTTACAGAAAAAGAAGCAATTAAAAGTTTTTCCATTGTTCCTGAAATTCTAGGGCTATATGCAGTATAATTTACCTCTAGTTTGCATCCTTTATGGACAGACTCTTCCTCTTCCCTGAAGAATATATCTGTTCCAGTTTCCTCTTTTAAAACCTCTCGAATATCTTCTTCCAAAAAGGCAAGAGGCTGTGACTGAAATTAAATGATTAAAATAACAGAAAATAGCAAGTTCATAATTTTTTATTACTGAAATCCATTGTTGTAAGCTGCTCAGAGTCACTTTGAAGTGAAATGGGCAGCAAACAAGTTTAATTTATTATGTAAAATATATAAAAGACACAAAATGTATTCAAGATATACATTGCTTGGATTGAGTATGTTACATCTTGAAATTCAGATTTTCTCTTATAGCCAAAATCCATTGAATCAAGGTTGATAAAATTGACTAGTTTTATATTTTGTCCAATACACAAGGAGTTTAAATAAAGTTTTTAATTTACAGAATTTATAGAAATATAGTAACATGACAGTTTAGATATTATAACACGTTTGACCTTTTCCAAATGTAAATTATGTAGCATTGCTCAACCATCAACTTTTAATCCTAAATTTAGGTTGGTAACATTACATAAGGGATATGAATCAAAATGGTACACACCACAATTTTCAGAGGACCATATTTCTTTTCTTGAGCAGCTAAAGCATTCTTAAATGGAGTTGGAGTTCTTGGTGTTGTGCCCAGTAGTGATCTTCTAATAGTAGGTGTCCTAAAACTATACAAAATCCCAAAGATGTATCAACAATTTTATGATAATCAAAATAAATTGTTCTGAATAAAAAAGCTTTATGCAGAATCTTTTAATCTTTTACATTTTGCAGTCATTTTTAGTTCACTTAAGATTTACTTCCCTTTTTATTTCCCTTTATTTCAAAAAGCATATTTAATTCCTAATTCATATTAAATTATGTACCTACCCAGCATTTTCCTTTTGATCTTTGGGTGTTACATCTTTATTATGTAGGGGAGTTGTAATAAGAACTTTTTGGCTACAAATTGGAGTTGATGTAAATGGAGTATTTTCAACATTAAACTGCTCATTTCCAGAACATGTATTGAAGAACTGTATATAAATCAAGAATATAAAATATACAATTTAACTCCAACTGTTTAATGTCTGCAGTACTTATGAACAGCTCTATAGCAAGATAATTTTTCCCCATCTTATAATTTAAAATGTTGTTCCGTAGCTAAATAGGCACATGAGACCTTTGCAAAAAAACACACATTAATATGATCTACTTGTCATGACATTGTATTCTTTAAAGCATCACTAGAGTTGTAATCACTACATTTATTTACCTGAGAAGGGGAAAAAGGTAGTGTTTTCACTGGTGTTTGTTTTAGCATAGTATTGTTGCTACTAAGCCCATCATTCTGTTCATAGGCTGGTGATTGTCCAGTCCTGATTTTCTTCTTTTTGCGTAAAATTGTAGGAGGAGTACTGAATTTGGCTGTATTTGGAGATCTTGATTCTTCTTCATCACGTATTTTTTTGCCATCAAGTACAACACTTACATTAAACTGGCACTCCATGGCCCCATCATTATGCTGAATACGCATTAATTTTACTGGAGCTTGATTGACAGGTGAAGGAGCCGCATCAGAAAGGTCAAAGCTGGTGACATCACTCCATGCTACAGGATCCTCCAATATCCATCAACAGAACAGAAAAAATATATACTTACATCTCTTTAAAATAAGAGCTATTTATCTCCAGTTGAACTGTGATTCAGCTATATATTTATCATTTTAATGTATAAATACAGATCTTAACTTAAGTTCTAACATACTTTTAATCCATTTTTATAATCTAAAAATATAATCATTTTATCATTACAGATAGTACTTGCTTTGTTCAGTCATTCGTTCAGTGACCATTCCAAATTCAAATGGCTCTGAAAGGACATATGACCCATACTTAAAGTTCCAGGTGTGCCCTCATAATCACGTAATTGTGATCTAGAAACTTGGCAACCCATTCATACTTATGATTTATTGCCAAGCACCCTGTGATCCTGTAATCACCATTTGCAACCTTTCCTGCTGGCTTCTTCAGAAGGTCAATGGGGAAGCTAGCAGGAAAGGTGCTGCTGCCTGCCAAAAGGACACCCTCTGGTTTCTGGAGTCTGGCTGAAAAACTCCATCCTGAAATCCAAGCAGAATTTTGGCATGGAACATTTGCAGCACGGTGCGTTTGTAAGCCAGTCTCCATAAACTAGAAGATTCCCTCTCATTTCTGGAGACTGACTAAAAAAAGCATTCCAAAATCCAAGCAAAATTTTGGCAATAGAGATTTATTATAGAATAGGGAGGGTCAAACTCATCATCAGTCATGAGTCCCTGTATGCCCACAACAGATATAAGTCCAGCCCACCTTGAATTCTTTGCTTAACTCACTCTAATTCCACTTGACCATTAGTAGTTCAGATTCTTAGAGAACGCTTAAGCTTACAATAAATCTTTATACTCATTTGAACTGCCTGAATTTCCTCATTTCCTGACATTTACAGCCCAAAGATGCAGCACAGTGAGGCAAGGAGAACAGGATGTCTTAGGGAGGTGAGGGAGTGGTCCAGCAAAGGCTGCATAACTCTTCCTAGTTGGGAGCTGGAAATCCTGCTTGGATTTTGGCAGGGAGCATTTTTAGCTCCTAAGCAGAAATGTTCGAGCATGTCCTGCACTAGGCCTCCCACTCTTCCCCTCACCAAGGCAACCCATGTTCCTTACCGGACACTCCATCTACTTCAGACCTATGTTTGCTTAACAACTGGAACTGGGAATGTCGAAATTATAGTCTCTAACCAAAGCAGTCACGACATCTTGCTTCATGACTGCTTCACTTGACCAAGATTCCAGCCTTAGTTGTGTTTATTAAATGAGGACTAGCTGTACTTTCTCAGATAATCCCAACAATTCAGATGTTCACTATTATTTCTCTCACAAAAAATAATAAATAGCAATATCTCAGTTTTATTGAACAAAATTACTACTAATAATCTTAGTAAACTATTAAAATTTATATTTTTTCTGATTTATTACATGAATTTTATTAAGACTTACAGACTCAATGAGTTCCAGTGTCTCTGCAAATTCAGGTATGGTCTGTAGAGATGAAAGTACTGCATTTGCTTCCACAGCCAAGTATTTGCTAGGTGAGGTTTGCTGATTTATTGAAGCTTGTGTATCATCTATATCATAAAAGTCATTTGTTTGCTCCCCAAGGCTATTTAAAGTATTTGCCATGTTATCTTCCATGATGAAGTTTCCAGACCAATTCGAAAAGTTTCTGGCTTGCTAAGAACACAAAAAATGTTGCTGTTTTATTGAAAATTAAGCATGAAGTTATTCAAACTCACTATAGAAGATGTATGATTAATTAAGTTCACTGGCAATTATGGAAGTTGTGATATAAAATGGGCCAGAAAATCAATGTAATATAATTTTAATTAGTCTGTAATACATTTACCTGAAAGTAAGCCCATTTAATAAAGTGGCTTATTCCCCCCTCCCCAAAAGAAAATTACAAAAGGGTTATGCTGCTGATATAACCAAGTGACACATTCTTAAATGTGTCTAATTTTAACCTGTCAACAATCTTTATTGTGGTCCTAGAAATCATACTGCTAAATTTCTGTGGTAAACTGTCAGAAACTAGGTGTTTCATTTCACTATTTTTAGGGTATATATTCATTCCTTTAAACCAAAAATAAATAAAAATTAATTATCAAAAGCACCAAAAAGAAGTCTCCTAGGCAGGGCAACATCCACTTGCATGACATCATGGAGTACTTCACCCCACCTGCTATGCCCTTAACTTGACTTTTTTGATGGCTGCTAGCCATCAAAATATTGCTTGCTCCTGCCTAGAGAAGAAAAGCTGGCTTAATAATTTTGCCAAATGATAGAGAAAGCATGCAATATATAATCCTCTAGCCACAAATTATGCAGTGATCCTCATGCTTCTCTCTCTCTGTATATGTATATGTATATGTGTATGTATGTATGTATGTATGTATATGTATATGTATATGTATATGTATATGTACATGTATATATGGATCTTTGGTTATTCGGGTTTTCTCCCGCATAAGATTGGAAGTATCTAGGCAACGTTTCGAAGAAGTCTCATTCATCATCTTCAGGCTTCTGTATTCGGCTCTGTGCTTCTCAGAGTGATGTGAGCTTGCAGCTGCTTCTTCCTTTTAACTGCT